ATGATGCTACAAAGAGTAAGTATTTCTTTTTCAGCACTGGCTGACAATAAAACAGGTTCCATCTTGGGGAAAGTTTCCTCCTTTAAAGTAAATGCCTTTTCATAGTGAATGCTTTATAATTTAAGGAAGACTTTTGTATATTTTTTAATTTAATCCTTCACATTTATAAGCTAATACTCTGTGAACGATTAAATACAATTCAGAAAATAAGCAAGGATGTTTTCTTCATGTTTTTTCCACATTGTGAAAATCCAAACTATGGAAAAATCTGTATTTTTTTTCTTTTTTTAATTTTCCTCTTTTTTAAAACATTATTTTTTCATCAAATAGTTAAAATATATTCTAACATCAATTTAGAGTAGGCTTAAGGAAAAATGCTCTTTCATACTGCTGTCAAATATTTTGGCCCAGATCCTCTGGTGTTTTGAACTCCAGTTATATGTGTGTGGGTCTTCCTGGCAAATGTTACACTGGATTTAATTTGACTTAATTGGATAGGTAGACAATCCATGTGGTATATGTAGAGGGGTGGCAAGATCATTCTCATCAAAATGTCTATGTCCTCATCTGTCCCAGCACCTAAGTGAGTATGTGTAAAGGGATTCCTCTGCCCAAAGACAATAGAAAACAACCTGTATCCTAACCTTCTCACATGATCCTTTTTGTAATTGCAGGGATAAGTCAGCAAATGTTAAAGCTGATGGGGCTGGTCTCAGGTCTGAGTCCTGCATGCATTGCAGTCCACTACCTAGGAATATGACACTTGGGATCATGAAAATATGCGATGGGCCCAGAATGGGTGAAGGAGAAAGATCAAATCTAGAATGAAGGATTAAAGGATAAGGCTGTACCATGGTTCCACCTAGGAGAAATGAGTATTCCCTTCTAGATATTTTTAGGTGAAGAAGAGAGAGGCAATAGTCCTTCACGTAGAATTATGAGTCCACTTGAGGTGCACTGCAGCCCACACAGAACCCTGACACCTGCCTTTCTGCTACTGTTACAGCACCAAGTGGAGTTGTATTTTCCATCCCTACCCCTGCCTTTGGGATGAATTCTCTTGCTGTCATCTCCCCAACACCATTTTACCCTTTGCACACAATACTGAAAGCCACAGCTTAAATTAGATAGTGTAATATGTAGTACTTAAGTAGTTTTTGGAATTTTTTTTTTTTTTTTTTTTTAAAGATGACCGGTAAGGGGATCTTAACCCTTGACTTGGTGTTGTCAGCACCACGCTCAGCCAGTGAGCGAACCGGCCATCCCTATTTGGGATCCGAACCCAGGGCCTTGGTGTTATCAGCACCGCACTCTCCCGAGTGAGCCACGGGCCAGTCCTGAAATTTTTAAAATATAAAAAAAGGAAAAAAATCTTAGTGATAGATTTTTAAAAATGAGTAAACACATAACCGATATAATATGTCCTCATTAAAAGTATATAAAATAAATTTGATTATAAAAATTGTGGTCCATAAGTATTAAGATTTTTATTTTCCCAAATTGGTCTATAGAAATCCCAATAGACTCTTTCATAGAAATTGACAAGTTGATGCTAAAATTTATAGCTGATCCTAATGGTTCATGGATTCCATATCTGTGATTTTGCCTATTTGCTAAAATGTATTTGTAACCCTAAAAACAATGTGGCACTTTTGCAGTCATTCTTAGATATGCACAGAGCAATAAAAATTTTGTGGTGCCCAAAATGGACATTCCCAGCTGAGGTTGAACAAGGCAACACCCTGTCTTCTTGTTTCAGCTGTCATACTGCAGGGTGTCCTTTATGTGGACTGTTGAGTGTCATGTTTTTACATTTTTGTGCTTTTTGTTGGTGATTTTGCTGTTTAAAATGCCTCCCGTGCATAGTGCTAAAGTGCTGTATAGGGTTCCTAAGTGCAAGAAGGCTATGATGTGTCTTATGGAGAAAATATGTATGTTAGATAAGCTTCATTTAGGCATGAGTTATAGTGCTTTTGTTTGTTAGTTCAGTATTAATGAATCAACCGTATACGAGTATATTAAATAAGATGTGTTCAAAAAGAAACACACAGAAAACAAAGTTATATATCGACCAGTTAAAAATGTTGTGACCAGAGGCTCACAGGAACCCAACCCTGTTTTTCCTCTAGGAGCAATGGTTTTATTCTAATTCAGTGTTTGTGACAACATTATAAAACATAACTACCACAACTAACGGGAATTGACTATATATGAAAATGCAAAGGGCCTAGAATAGCCCAAACAACTTTGTAGAAAGTTGGAGAGTTTATACTGTCTGATTTCAAGGTTTACTATAAAGCTGTGGTATTTAAAACAATATAGTGCTGGCATACAAATAGACATATCAATCAGTGGAGCTGAACTGAGAGTCCAGAAATAGACCCATACATATACTCTCTCTTGATTTTTGACAAAGCCTTCAAGACAATTCAGTAGAGAAAGGTAAGTCCAAGGGCCCGCCTGTGGCTCACTTGGGAGAGTGTGGTGCTGATAACACCAAGGCCACGGGTTCGGATCCCTATATATGGATGGCCAGTTAGCTCACCTGGGAGAGTGTGGTGCTGATAACACCAAGGCCACGGGTTCGGATCCCTATATATGGATGGCCAGTTAGCTCACCTGGGAGAGTGTGGTGCTGACAACACCAGGTCAAGGGTTAAGATCCCCTTACCACACATCTTTAAAAAAATAAAAAATAAAAAAAAATAGGGCTGACCCCGTGGCTCACTCGGGAGAGTGCAGCACTGGGAGCACAGTGGTGCTCCTGCCACGGGTTCGGATCCTATATAGGGATGGCCGGTGCGCTCACTGGCTGAGCACGGTGCGGATGACACCAAGCCAAGGGTTACGATCCCCTTACCGGTCACAAAAAATAAAAATAAATAAAAAATAAAAAAATAAAGAAAGGTAAGTCCAACAGTTAGTGTTGGATCAACTGGGTAAACATGGAATAAAATAAACTTCAACATCCGCACACAATGTGCATAAATTAATTCAAGACAGATCATAGTCCTAAGCACAAAAATGAAAATTATAAATCTTCCAGAAGACAATATAAGAGTGCAAGAATATCCTCATGGCCTTGTGTAAGCAAAGATTTCTTGGAGGAAATGACAAAGGACTTGTATCTATAATATGTTAAAAACTCCTACAACTCAATACTAATAGATAAATACTAATAAATTTAAAAAACAGGTGAAAGTCTTGAATATATATGTCACAAAAAAAAGATTTATAAAGGTCAGTAAGTCACATGGAAAAATACTCATCATTAGTCATCAAGGAAATGTCAATTAAAATAATATGATTCTACTTCATGCCGAATAAATTGCCTAAAGTTAAAAAGTGAAAATTTCAAATGTTGACAAGGATATGAAGCAATAGGAACTTGGTCAATGGGTACAAAGTTACAATTAGAGGAAAGAAGTTCTGGTGTTCTGTGGCACAGTAGGGTAATTATAGTTAACAATAATGTAGCATATATTTCAAAATAGCTAGAAGAGAGGATTTTGAATGTTCTCACCACAAAGAAATGATAAATGTTTGAGGTGGTGGATATACTAATTACCCTGATTTGATCATTACACAGTGTATACATGTATTGAAACATCACATTGTACTCCATAAATACTAGTATGTACAATTATTGTGTGTCAATTAAAAATTTAAAAAATAGACTTTAGAAAAGTGAAAGATAAAAGGCTGAGAGGGAGACTCTGAGAGTTGGAAGGCGTCACAGGGCTTCTGCGCCCATTCTTGATTCAACTAGAACAGCTACCCTTTTTTTTCCCTTTTTTAAATACATACTGTCACTCTATAAAATGTCTTGAATGAAGAGTTATATATCTAAATATTTTTGTAAACAACTTAGGCATCATATGAACTAGCAGAAGATGAGCTCTTCAATACACAGTTTCAAGCTTTGACTGTAACAAGGAGCGGAAACACAAATGGAGGAGATACATGAGATTCTGATGTTTGTCTCTAATGCACAGTTGCTGTACTTCTCAGTTGACTCCAACCTTAATAGATATCTTATTCCTTTAGGAAAAGGAGAATCTTTGTAATTTGGAAAAGAAATACTCCAGCCTCTCTGGGGGAAAAGGGTTTCCTGTTAGCCCCAATACTCTAAAAGAGGTAAGCAATGAATTTATATGTCCACTCATGTCCTTATAAGTCAGAAGATATACCTCAGTTTTATGTGATTAGCTGAATAGCAAAAACACTAACTTACATAATTTGTGAAAGCACTCTATGCTTTGGTGGTTTTCCTGCCTTTCATTACTTATGCTTTGAAGCATTTTAAGGACTATCTTTGTGTCTAATGCAAATGCACATCATCTGTGTGTGTGTGTATATCTACATTTCTTGGCAGTGACATTGGGGGGTAACTTAGAGTTTCAAAAAATTTAGGATCTAGACCAAGATGAGTCTTTAATTCTCCTCTTACCTTCCTTTAATCTTCTCTCTCTCCTCCTCCCCTCTCTTACTTTACTTCTTTTTCTCTTGAGTTTTATAGAACATGAAAACCGCCCCAAGCATTCTGAGAGATAGTCTGGTTTCTTTCTTTTCTCCATTTCTTCCCTCCCCCCCATGTTGTTTCTGCTATTTCCCTCCTAAACTGGAAACTCCTATTTATATTAAGCTGTACCTACTCTTTATCCCAAACATTCCTCTTTCCGTAAGTCCCTGTCACCACTCTTCCTCAATACTTCTGATAGAGCTATGCTGCTAGAATGGTAGACTTTTTTAAGCATGATTTGAAAATTATCACCTTGACTGAGAAAGAAAGTAATTTTCTTTGTATTTATTCTTTTTTCTAAAAAAGCTTTCATAAGAATTTGCATAACCAAAAAAACTCCCTTTATTTATAAGTTGCTTATAAAAAGACAAAAGAGTTAGGAATTCCTACATAGAAAATATTGTTTTGTGTGTAGGTATGTGAAATAAAATGCTTCTCACAATAAAAAGTGTGACTAAATATGTGCCTCAGAAGCATTTTGTGAAATATTTCTACAAAAGCTGTATTAGATCATTGAGATTCATAGTCTCTCTCCATTATTCAGAACATGGAACTGATTCACAAGGGGTGGTGGTGGATGGAATGTCAGGAAAATGTCACCAAGGCGGGTAGGGGCAGATCTTTTGAGTCCTGTTAAGTTCTATTTTATTTATGATGGGAAGCATGAAGTGGTTTTAAGCAGGGAGGTGACATTATTTGATATCCATTTGTTAAAGATCACTCTGGGCTGCTCTGCAGATACTGGATTATAAGGAGCAAGAGGGGATGCAGGGAAACTAGTGTGGACATGGATGCAAGAGTAGAGACTGGAGACACTGATGGCTTGAATTAGAGAAATGGCAGAGAGATGGAGAGAATTAGCTGGGTTAGGATATATTGTGGAAGTAGAGTTGACAGCTCTTGCTGATAGATTGGGTGTGGGGATGAAATAAATAAAGGGAGGGGTCAGGAAAGATGCCACTATTCCAGTTTGAATAAGAAGGTGGATGGTGGGTGTCTTTTACTGAGATAGGGAAGACTAGGGAAGGAATAGGTTGAAGAGGGAAGATTTGGAGTTTGACTCCGGACATCATGAGTTTTTTTGATTTGTTGGGCTCTAGGGTATCTTCATCTCCTAATAAAAGAATAAAATTTAGGGAAGGAATAGGTTGAAGAGGGAAGATTTGGAGTTTGACTCCGGACATCGTGAGTTTTTTTGATTTGTTGGGCTCTAGGGTATCTTCATCTCCTAATAAAAGAATAAAATTTTTCCTTTTCTGTTAAGGAGTTGGTCTTTCTTTTTCCTGCAGACTTCTTGGTGTCAAAAGCACATTTGGCTCTTTGACTATTTTTCTGTGTCTGCAGCTCTTGGTCTTGTTTGTAGTTCTGCATTCTCTTTCATGTACCAAGCAGACTTGACTCACAGAATATTGCGATTTTCTTTTTTCTTTTTTCCTTTGTCATTCTGCTGTCTTTCATTCTCTCCTCTTTTCTTGTTTTTAAAGGAGTGATGAATTATAACCTAACTCTTTTAAAGAATTCCCACTTTTGGCAAATAGCATACATTTTTGAAGCAATTAATTAAGTTGTACAGTCTATGCTCATGAAAGGAATCAAACCTTGGCTTCGAACATTCTACTATCAAAAACTGAGCAAAAGTATAACTCAAAACTGTTCGTTTTCTTTCTGATTCATTATTGTAGATAAAATGAAATTTGATAACCAAATTGACTACTTCCTTTCTTCAGTTTAACCTTATAAAACTTTACTTAATATTTGTGCCCCTTTCTGAAGTACAAGACTTCGATGCATTTAATTTATAAACAGTCAACTCTAGCTTTCTCCACTTTATCATAATTATAAGTTCTCAGTAACATCCTTGATTTCCAGCCCGGAGTTTTTGCTTCACCAGCATAGTGATATCTTGCCTTTCCTGGAGGTACTTTTTGAAAAAAATAATGGGCTAATAGAAGAACCCAAGTGTCAAATTTAACTTCACTTTTAAAAAAGAGATGTTATTTTATACCTTTTATTCTTTTTTTTCCATATTGTTTACTGGTGTGGCAAAAATCTTGTGTAATTAGTTACTTTCCATGAAAATTTACAAGTGCCTTTTCCACAAATATAAATTCAGGAGTTTTGATTCTCAGAGATTTTGATTTATGGGTATATTATCTCTAAGCTGAAGCCAGAACTGAATTATTGAGTTCAAAGCTAACTGGAAATTCTCTGTCCCGGGGGTAGAGTTGGGGCTTGGGGAAGGTGCCTTGAATTGAAACATTCTGCAGTTGCAGCTCCTCCACCTGAGGGCCGTCTGTGTGTTCATGTGCATGTGCACTAGCGCGTTTGTTTCACTAGGGAAGGCTTGTCTGAGTGAGAGGATAGTGTCCTTTTTATTCTCATTTGGTTGAGATGCCTAAAAGCTAGACTCCATTACAAATAAATTACTGTCACATCAATGTTTTCTTAGTGCAAAACCCAGTAGTCCTCAACCCACTTTTACTCACACTCTAATTCATCAGGAAACAGAAGAAGAGGGGAACACTCTAAGAAAGAAGATTTGTGGAAAAGGCTCTTGAATTAGGGAGTAAGTGATTGCATTGCTGATTTTACATCTCAGATTTTTAGCTGCGTGATAATTGTAAACATATGTGTAGTGAGTGACAACCTCATTCTGTCACCAGAATGAATGCTGGTACCCCTGGATATTTTTTAATTGAAGGTGTTGGGTTACTTACAATATAGTCATCTTGATTTCACCAGAAAAATTATGTTTAATGTTTGGAATGCTATTTTTCAAGGTTAAGCACCGTAAATCCATTTTAATTGCTGATTATTCCCTTAATGAAACATTTGATAATATCACAGATATCTGGCTGTGCCGCTCTAAGCTAACTCCATTATACTGGGAACATTAATACTCTCGCATGCCTAAGCTCTTGCTTTCTTTGTGTTTAACTTCTGAATTCCTCCTTTTAGGGGTATATCAGTGTAAATGAAATTAATGAGCCATGTGGCAATTCCACGAATCTGTCCCCTTCCACTCAGTTCCCTGCTGCTGCTGATGCTGTTGCCACTGAGCCTGCCACCGCTGGGCTGGTGAGCCAGTCACAAAGTAAAGAGGTGTGTTGGCATGCCGTTTCATTCATTCACTGCTTTTACTCATGTCAAACATTAACCCACAGTGACTCGAAAGGAGGAAAATGAGGAGGGTGTGTGTGACAAATATATGTCTGTTTGGCCAGAGGGTCAGAGTGATGCTGAGTTTATAAAACATACCAATTTGGGGGTACTACTTAGCCAATTAAAACGCCGGAAACCATGAAATGTATGGTACAGGGTAGAGTACTGGAAGAAGTAAGTTCAAAGACATGAGCTCTGTGCCTTAGCACTCTAACCTGACCTAATTTTCTTGGAAATTAAAAAGCCTTTCTAAAAATGTTGGTTTGAATCACCTTTCCAGTTTAATTTTGTTTTCTATTTTGTTTTGTAACGTGGATATTTCTTAATGTTAATGTTATGCTGCTTTAAAGCATTCTGGGGAGGGGCCAATAATAGTCAATTAAAATACCTTCTAGGGACCAAGTTGTTTGCATTGTGGGATTTTAACAAGAGGCTAAATTGAAAGATATTGTCCATCATTTGCGACTTCTTGATTAAAATATAACAAAACAGAACAATCAGATTATCGATTTCATTTTTTTTTTGTCTTATTCTTTCA